GCCCCCCCAAGGCAGGGTCCGGGGCCTGCCACTGGTACTGCCAAGCACCGCACCGGCACCGCCACCGGCACTGGTACCGCCAAGCACGGCACCGGCGCTGCCACTGGTACCGCCACTGGTGCCACCACTGGTACCGCCAAACATGGCACCGGCGCTGCCACTGGTACCGCCACCGGTACCACCAAGCACGGCACCAGCGCTGCTGTTGGCACTGCCAAGCACAGTATCAGCACCGGCACCGCCACCGGTACCGCCAAGCACGGCACCGGCGCCGCGGTTGGCAGCGCCCAGCAGGGCCCCGCTCGCAGCCCGCGCGCTCAGCACGTGCCCACACGCCGCTGCCGCCTCCTTGGCTTCGAGGAGGCTTCGAGGCCGCCCCAGGCAGCCGTTTCCACCTTTTCCTCACCCTCGTCAGCCCCTGCTTGGCCTTAGGGCCCTGTCCTCTGCTCAGGGTGCTCAGCACACTTAGCAGGGTGAAGCAAGGGTGGGAGCTGAGGCCAAAATGATGCGATTTGGGGCTTGGACTGCAAACCCTGCAAATGCGTCTTGGCAGTGCTGTCTTTTGGGCAGGCTGGAAAGGCATGGAGGCACGTCGTTTTTTGCCTTAAAACCCTCCATAGGCGTCCCAGGAAAGTGTGCAGCAAGATGGCTCTGTCTATACATATATTTATACACAGGGAGGCAAAGCAGAGCGCCGGGAGGCGAGGGCAGCTCGGGGAAACTCTCCCAGTTTCCGCCCCTCAGAACAGCACAGAGCTGCAGATGGGCTCCCACCCGCCGGGGTCCCCTCTGCAGGGGATGTCCCCTGACAGGACGGGCCCTGCTGGGGTGGCTCCGTGTCCCCCGGGTCTGGGAGCGCCATCGAGGTCCTCCGAGGGGAGCGTTTGCATGGGAACAAAATCCGAAGCGGAGCCACGGCCGCCCTCGCGGGATCCCTGTCCCGGCGCCCGCCGCTCCGGGCAGCCTGTGCTGCTTCCCAAACACACGGCCCGACCCAGGGCTGCAGAGGGGCCGGGGAACAGCGGTGCCAGAGGAGGAAAAAACTGCTTTCCCTGGGGGA